TGGACAGAAAAAGGTGGCCAATGACATTGAGTTGTAAAATGTTATAAAAAAATCACAAACGTTTCTTTTTTTATATTTGTCAATGCATATATACACTTTATGAAAACGTTTGAAAAGGGATATTCGTCTCGTGAATATTCCTTTTTACAGAAAGGTTTGTCCCATGGTTGAGGGAAGGTGTTTAGCCCCGTACCCATACATTTGTACCGGTCACATTCCGGTAATAGATATTACCTGATGTCTATAAATAATGCCGAGATGCCAACAAATATTTCGTCATTTAAGTTTTGAATATTTGCATGTGTGCAATTAACTTTTGATGATGAATACTTACTGATTCAATACGTTTCAGCACTGACTTTAAAAATCTTATTCCTTGGTTTCATAGTGCGGTAAGAACTGCAGTTGCCTGGGGGGCCCTTTGGAAACTTTGCATCTCGGTCAGACCACCTGTGTTTACTGCCTCGCTTCAAAACCGTCAGATGACATTTTAACAGGGTCTTCCCGAACTATTCAAATGGTCAAACTGGACATTTGGAACGGACTATGAATATGGCGATAGCAAGGTAACATAAGAGGAATGCATACAACACATACATTCATTAAAAAATATGGCTCTTCACGTCATGTCCCTTTAATATCTACCGCGTATATATGTATACTCATCTTGATTATATCTGCTTTATATGTCTTTATACTTTTTTTGTTATCGCCCTTTGCCATGATTTTTCTTCCATTCTTTCTTTCGGGGGTTCTCGAATGATACCATTCACACTCTTCATTGCACCCGTCCTCCTTTGCAAAACAATTTCATCATGTTATTAAGTTATTCGGTACTGTTGTGCCAATGCAATGCTTTCCATCCACCTTCGAGAATAAACTTAGAGGATCTACTGACCTACACGTGGCTACACCTGCGTTGATATCTTAAAATATCGTGCGACTGCTAGTTGAGCCTCGAAGCTGTACATGTGTAGCTCACTTGCCCCTTACTCAAATTGGGTTACCAAGCGACCATGACCATTGACCATTCGGCCAGTCACACATCCTGTCTTGTCCCACGGCTCGTCACTCATACGATACGCAAAAGTCGAGTCGGTGTTGACATCAAGCTTTTCAGTTCACTCTTCGGGCATCTCGAACTTCTATTGATTTCGTTAGGTTATTCTTCTTCTTATTAAAATCTTTACTGCTAAACATAATCTTGCAAATCGTATTGAAATGAAGAACACGTCAGTAAAAGGGCTAAAAGTATTGAAAAAAAATAATGTTGTACATCTTGAAAGTGCCATTGTCGACATTTGAATCGGTGTAGTAGTAGAGATAAATAAAGGATCTTGTCATCCGTTTGCGGAAAGTAAGTGGACATCGTTGGGTATACAACAGAGCATTTATTGAAGACGCACAAAAGCAGAGGCGTAAAATGGATGACGTTTTGACAATTCCAGCAGCATAAAGTATTATGAAAGGAGATGGTCAGTTATTCCGGACTACTAGTCATAGTTATACAGGGTTTAAGGATGTACTCCTCTGAGAAGAAAAAATCATTCCTGTATTAAACCTTTTTTCTTGTAATGCATTTTTGGAAAATGAGTTCATGGCATAGTAGAAAATGTAAAAAGAATTTTATGTTCGTGTGTTTGTTTTTGTGCTGATACCAATTTAACATAATATGTGATTTTAGGTGATGTTTTGGTTTTGGTCATTTGCAGAATAAATTCATACAATATCTTCTAAGTGTGTTATCAGATATGTATAATTGTTTGCAAAATTGATAAAGATAGTATTTTCTGTTACATTATGAAACTAATGTTTCTTAAACTTATTATTTTAACTCAGAAAAACGATTACCCGTAACCCTTATTTTTCAATGATAAAATATTCATTTTTTCCCTTTTTTTGCAGATTTAACGTTCGATATTAAAAGTTTTGCTATGATTGAACTTGTTTTGATATTAAATGGATCAAACGAAAATGTTAAAAAAAACTACAAAATTGGGGAGTTCGTTTGCTTTTTTTGTCCCATTATTATTTGTGTTATTTTTCATCTTTTTCAAGGTCAACAATCGCAAGTCCTTCGGTTTCACTAAATGTAAAAATCATACGTAGAATGTTTCACTTTGTTTCATATTATTGTCATCAAATGAATATTATAAAGTTGTATAGCAGGAAATAAACATGCTTCAATTAAAAATGGCGAAACAATTACGATTTTAGTGACCAATTTAGTATCAAAAACGGTTTAATTTTCACCTTTCGCGAAGCGCATGAAATACAATTTTTCAAAATGACCAGCGAATTGGTCAATACAGAACAAGTTGTTAAAAATCGTAACAATATTACTAGTCGGCTTTGTGTCAGAAGTAGTTGTTTTCCGTAATGATAAAAAAGCGGCAATAAGCGGGCAGAAAACTATACTAATAACTATACAGATGAGAAGAAGAAAAATACATAGACCTGAATGTATTCGTGTTACATTTTTTACATTTGGTGTTTTGAGGTATTCCGACATTTCTATTTCTATTTTCTAATTTAATATGATTGCTAATAAATTACTTTCTTTTGAATATTTTCATTCGTTTGCACAGATTTAAAAGGACATAAAACATACTGTGACGCTTATTATTGTTTCGCTACATGTACCTTTAAAAATACTTTTTTTTATTCAAAAGACAACTGACAGAAAAATGGCGTTAAAATACACTCTGGTTTTCTTACTGAACCTGCTATGGATGAGCCTAAGGAGGATCAAAAAGTCAATTAAAACCTACAAAACAAAGGTTTGAAAGGAATGAAATCCATTAGCTAGACATATTGTTTGCGGCAATTGTGAACTTAATTGTCAGAAAAATAAATACTATTAACTATTTTTGCTTTATACCACAAAAAAGCATTCGTGTTCAAACACAACCATATCATGCCTAGAAGTAAATGTAATCTAAACACCATCAGTAAATGGAAATCTGTAAATAGAAATAACTAGATCTACGCGGGATGTATAATATTACCACTGGGACCTGATTATGTGTTACAGCTATATTTGGACCTATACTAAGGTGTTCAGAGCATTTTCACATGTTTTAGGGGTTGGATCGACTTTCGGTAAAAATGACATCCCGTTTATGTAATCATTGGGGTGTCGTTCCTACCGAAAGTCGATCTAAGTGTAACGATCAGAGTATTACCCGATAACTGGTGACACCCGGCGATCAGAGTGTTACCCGAAAATGGGCGAAAGCGCTAGCGAATTATAGTTATTGTGGTGGTTTTTTTTTACATATTTTACCGTCACATGGACATTTAAAACTATTTATCACTAATAATACATATGTACATAAATGGAAGGAAACTGCTACGAATGTAGTGATTATACAGTAACGACGCGAGTGGCTACCAAAGGATTCCAAGTGGTTGGGCCGCTCCCCTCCACCACCGACCCNATTTGCCTACACTTATTTGTCAGTGGTAATATACCTCTTTTTCCCCCTAATTGGACCCGCCCCTTAGACCCAAAATGGGGCCACAGCTCAAGTTTATACAAAATTGAGTCCTCTTTCCCTAAGGATGATCCAGTTCACATTTAATTTAAATCCCTTCTTTTGTGCAGAATGGGTAAAATGTTCCTCTTTATCCCCCATTGGGTCCGGCCCCTCTGCAAAACAGTTGACTCAACTTTGTCCAAAGATGCATTAGAACAAATTGGGTTACTATCCTTTATTCGGTCAAAAGGAGAAGGTCAAATTAATCTGATTTAGGTAGGAATAAATAAAAATGAATGGATACAAATGAATTTTAACTGCCATTGTACAATACAAGAAAGCTAATGATATTACATGTTAGATCTATATATATTGGAAATTAAAAGTAGTGTCTTGTTATGACAGATAGAATTAAACTATCTTAGGTAGGTATCAATTACAATGTATGGGTATTTTTAAATTAATTTTAAGTGTCATTGTACAATTCCAGAAAACTAATAATATCACATGTAAGATCTTTACTCTTAACAATATTAAATAACTTAACATTTTTAAAGGAAAATTTGCTACCAAGAGATTATACACCCCTATGTGGGAATATGTAGTATCCACAGACAAAGTGTATTAAACATGTACATTGAATCACTGTGCCTACATGTATGTACACATGCAACGAAATCATGGATAAACTTATTTATGAAACTGTCTGTCAGATTTTAAAGCCTAGTTTTGTACAGTGCATATTACGAATCAAAAGCAAAGCAGCTGCAAACTTCCTGCTGTGTATAAAACAGACATGAAAAACCCTAAATTATATTCGAGAAGTATAAAGCCAGAAGTTGGCATCGTTAATCAGCCGCGATATTTGGGATGCGACTGCGCATATATTGGTGATAGGTTTTTGTCTACGGATCGCAACAATTAAACTACGGACTTCTCTTACATTCTACGAGTCCATCATCGGCATGAGAATGATAAAAATATGTATATAAAGCAATAAATGGGTACAAATTGTACATCGGGACAAAGACGAATACAACCAGTATATATGCAGTACGTCTCTAATCGTGATAATTACTTATGATGACGGCGACTAGGATTGCTGAGCTAATGTCTGGATATGTGTGGTACTTCTGCGAAAGTACGATTGTCCCATAGGTCTCATGTAGATGTTTTCATTCTTTAAAATGTTATGCATCCGACACAGTTGGAATTTTGAAAATATCTCATTTGATATTTATTTAATAAATATAATTTATATGAGTTTTAATTATACTGCCCAGATCACATGAATAAATATTAAAAACTGTTAATATGCTTTACGATACAAGAAAACGACTACAGAACGAAGAACGCAGCCCTCGACAAGGACCTTAACACATTAATAATAAATCTACATGATGATAGCGACGATGAAACATATAGCTGTGGGAAGGTTATGGCCGGATTCGGCCATGAAGATAATTCAATAGAACGAAAAAGGATGAAAAAATAAAAAGGTGTATAATATTTCATCACAAGAATAATGTACAAATAAAAGAAACAAAAATAAAAATAACATACAAACAACTACTGAAAAATACAAAACAGTCGAGAAAATGAATTAATGTATTCGATCGAACATAAACCATATCGTCACATAACACGTACCTCGTGCTCAGCAATGACAACCGATTACATGTAGTCATAACGACTGTTTTCGGCTTATAACTCGGTTTTGAGTTCTAGCATACCTGTTATAATTGCCTGTAATTCCTTATCTTATTATTAACTTACCTTTAATCAATATGGAAATCAAAGGTCAACACGTAAGGTCATCATTGTCAGATTATACGCAATCGGACACAAGGAAGGTCCGTTGTCACCTGAAGTCTTTCATGAACTCACCATTACAGCAATGTTAATCTAAAACCAGCTACAAACAATAATGGCATGTCATTGATCTATTTACAAAACCTTAATTCGGTGACGTTGTTTTATTTATAAGTGTTTTAAAAGTTAGGGCTGCAGATTCAAATACATGTTCATAAAACCTTTTATTGATGACAAATGGTTTATTCCACTTACTACCTTCAAATAGTACTTCATTCATGTTCTGGTAATCAGTTGTTGTTGACTTACAGAATTGTTCAGTCTTTATTCTTGTTTTTCGGAAGTATGCAACTTCCTCATAAAAGTCTGGAGGTTGATGCTTTAGAATTTCTTTCATTTTGTGAAGAAAAAAATCATATAGAGCATAATCTAGGTAGGACCTTTCTTTATAAAGTTTTTCCTCTTTTGATCCAAACTGCAATCGAGATTTTGTTTTGCGCTTGTACCCTCTGACATGAGTTTTACAATATAGAATATCTTTGAGATCCCAGTTCAGGAGTCGCCGCATCAGTACAATGGATTCATCAAAATATTCCACCACTAACACTATATTCATCTCTTTATCAAGTTTACGTAAATAACTCTGTATCTTAGTTTGATTCCTGTCCCAAAATAATTCCTCAGGGAATCCAAACTCAATTGCCATCATATTAAACTCGTGTGCCATCTGTTGGAGATCAATGTAGCCTTGGTATTTTATATGATGTTCTGTATGAGATAAATAATCCAACACTGGATTGTTTCCTGGTATATCCAAAACATTTTTTGGATAAAAACAATTAATAAAGGATTGGAACAGGCTGAACGGCTCTCTCACGACTTCTATATACATAGTATCGTTAGGTAGCACTCTACTAAATTCATCTCTATTGTATCTGACGTGCCCACAGGAAATATCATAAGTTTCATTTCTTGGAGGCGGGAAGAAGTAGCGTGATGTCAATGAAGGACCGCCCCCGCCTTTGCCTCTTGGCAGAGCAAACACGAGATTCCTTTCAATGCCGTAGCGTAGAAATATATTAGCAATCGTTGTACTGGCGGCCTTGTGTATCTTAAGGAAGGCTATGTGATTGACAGGATCGCCTTTTTGAATGTATTGTCTTTGATAGGCGTGAAGTTTTCGGTCAGTGTCATTTTCGTTTGATGAGTCTCCATGTTGGTAAGAAAGCACGTCCTGGTTTGATTGCCACACAGAATTGGTTGTCTTGCTAGAGTTGAAGATGTCGTAATCCATTAAACCGTATAAAGCCACCGATACACACAATCCCACAAAACACCACCTGTAAAATAGCAATCTTCTGTGAATATGATTAGGATTCTATTGAGTATAATTCGTTTGTTTAGTTAAGGAATAACCAAGATTTTGTTAAGGGTTGCATCGAAAAGCGGTTTAGGCTAAAAAATGCATTGTGTTATGCTCAAACGTGCACAGTGTTTTTTCGGTATTTACCTTAATACCCATACAATAATCATAGGGTTTCCTTATCATTCAATTCAAAAACACATCCAAGAGTTTGGTGTATAGCTAATGATTATATATCAATTTCTAATCAACTATTTAAACCAAAAAGCATTGCACAGTAATTTCATCGCAGAACAACTTCATTCAATCAGAATTTAGAATNAAAAATATTTTTATTTATGTATAGGCCCGTCCTGTAAATGTCACAATGTATAGCCAAGAGAAGCTGTCGACGTATGATATTATTTTTAAAGGTGAAAATGTTTGTCATTTCATCAGAAAGGGAAAAAATGACTTTTTTTACTCGATAAAGTCACATTTTACGGCCCCTTTACAGAACGGATAGATCTTATCATTTAAGAGTCTTAAAAATGCTTTTGTACGAATTTCTATGATTTTTCTTCAGATTGTTAGAGTTAAAACTGACACCAGCACGGATTCCTAGGTTTTTAACAGAATTTATTCTGCCAGATTTCATCTTGTCTAGAAATGAAATAACTTGAAACAGTGAACAACTTTATATACACATTAATACATGCACATC